AAATAATCTCCAAATGGGTTTTCTAATAAACTGTATTTCCCTGGCCGTATGTGTTTTTTTTATTTATGTTAGTGTTTGAAATTCATTTCTTGCATTTCAAAATACAGGATCATTTATTTATTGTAGAATGTTCCAGATGAAGGCAGCATTGGAGTTAGTATGCTGGCATGCAGTTCTGATTTCTTGTCTATCTTTAACATTCATCTTCTCTCCTTTCCCTCAAACTCACAGAATCCTCAAAACATCATTGCATAATGATATGAGCAAAGTTGCTTTTAAAGTGTTCTCAAAATTATAGAGTTCATTACTAAGGCAACCAGAATTTAACCCCTAGTATGTCTGACTTAAAGCCCAATTCTTTCCCACATCAGAAAGCCTCCAACACAAATACCTATGCATAGATTCAAAACATACATGAGAAATGTAAAAAAAAAAGTAAGATTCCTCAACGAAATTGTCACAATCAACTTTTAAAGAAAGCTGGTAAGTTGGCTCTAATCAAAATTGACAGGTATTCAGCTGAAAGATCTGCGTTTCAATCTCATTTCCACTTAGAGAGCTCCAGTGGTCACTATCAGGACACTAACCCAGGCCACACAGAAGTTCTAATCCAGCAGTCAATACAATGCCAGCTGCTCTTGGGTGACAGATGAAGACCTAGAGCTGAAAAGTCCATCAAAGCTAGGGACAGTTGTGCCTGTAACTCCAATGATCAGGAGGCTGAGACGGAAGGATAAGGAGTTCAAGAACAAGTTTGAGGAACACAAGGAGAATCTGTCACAAAAAGAAAAAGAAAGAAAGAAATTGACTAATCAAACCCATTAGCTAATTTTATGAACACACATAAATTTATATCATAGAGACTACCCTTTTCTGAGCCTATGAAGAATGTGTATGTATTATACAAGCACTACATATATAAGCTTATACTATATAATACATACACATATACCAACAACACATGTAAAAATACACAAGTCAAAATCTGAAAAATCCCTAAGGGAAAGACAAAACAATATTGGTGTGTTCAAAAACTGAATACGGTAAGAAAGCAAGAGGAGTAAATACCTAAAGAAATCAGTTTAAAGTATCCTCAGAGGCCCATCAGTGTCACTAGAGAGGGTTATCCCAGAGTATCCCCATAGGCTTCATGATGCTTCTGCTTCAAATAAGCAAATTCCCAGATCTTTGAAACTCTGCCATTTAATCAAGAGTCCCATGCATGGGACTTCCATTTTACGGAAACCGTAGCTATTGCCACTGGATCCTATATTTACTGGGTCTTTGGTAAATGAGTCACCAGATCATCTAAGGACTATTATTTCACCTTTCCAGGTCTCACTATCTCATTCATAAGCAAAGCAGAGTAATATCCAGGTCTCTTAGGCCACTGAAGAGGAAATATATCCATAAAGTACTGCATGTCTTGTCAATAAAAAGATTATCATCATATATTTGTTATTTAATGACTGTTTGACTCTATTAATATAACCTTAAATCTCATTTATAACTAGAGAAGCATGATATTCTACATACACAGTAATGCATCTTTTTATTGTCGATACAGATTAATAGTGCACCCTGAATAGATGGGCATCTTTTGGCCATGGCCGTGAAAATCTGATGATCCACACACTACTTTTTCTTTATAACGTCTCCAGAAAATATCAAAGTAACATCATTCCCTTTTTTATTTTACTCTTAGAGCCTAATCTTTCCTTCCCTATTATGATTTCTAATATCAGCAATTTATAATATGTGTGTGATAAGCCTTTCCAACAGACTGTAAATTCTACGAGGACAGAGGTCAAATTTATTTTGTTCACCGCCAACATTTCCACAGCGCCTGCCATTATTCCTCAATAAATGACTAAGTCATTGTTTTTTTTTAATGACTGAGACAGGGCTGAGGAAATAACTCCATCGGCAAAGTATTTGCCTTGCTAGAATCCACATTAAAAAAATAGAAATAAAGTCAGGCATAGTGCCCCATGCCTTTAATCCCAGCATTTGTAAGGCAGAGACAGGTGGATCTCTGTGAGTTTGAGTCCAGCCTGGTCCATATAGAGAGTTCCAGGACAGCAGTGACTACACAAAGAAACCCTGTCTCAAAGCCACAAAAACAAAATTAAAAGTTAAAGATAAAAAGAATAAAATTTTAAAATGGGACTTTGAGGCCCATGCTTGCAAGCCCAATGTTGAAGAGATGGAGATGGGAGGATTTCTGGAGCTCACTAGTCAGTCAAATCTCCTACTTGAGCAGCTCCAAGCCAGTGAGAGACTCTGTCTCAAAAGGAAAAGGTGGAGGCTTGGAAAGATAGCTCAGTGGTGAAGAGCACGTGTTTGCTAGTCTTGAAGAGGACCTGGGTTCAGTTCCCAGTACCCGCAGGACAGCTCACCCACATGACCATCTGGGCTTCCAGTTCCAGAGGGCCTGATGCGCTCTTCCAGACTCTGTGGGCACCAGACATGTACATGGTACACATGCACACATATGGGGGAAACACTCATATACATAAAAATACAAATAATAAATGTTTCTTTAAAGGGAAGAATAGGTGAATGGTGTCTAAGGAACAATATGGGATTTGTCCTCTGGCCTCCACACACATGAACCCAAATACAAGCAAACACACACACACGCACACACACACTACATTCATTTTCCCTAAGCAGTATGGTATGTAATTTGGCAGCTATTCATTCAGTGCAAAATCCCAGGACAGTTCTAGAGAACCAGAAGCTGTCAAATCCTCTCTTTTAAAGAAAACCACAGAGAAAAAAAATTTTAAGTTTTTTAACTTAGTGTATATGCCAACTAGTTTCTCTGCTTGCAGATGTTAACGTTTTAATTGTTTACTTGTTTAATTGGCATGAACTTTCGATATCAGTGTCTGCTGTCTCATCTAAGGTTCCTCTCTTACTTGCTTCCCCCTTTCCCCTCCTCTTTCTTGTGACTATGTTTCTTCTCTCTTCACTTTGCCTTAAGTTTGATCTGCAGCTTGCTTCAACAGTCATAATACTCAGCCGGGCGGTGGTGGCGCACGCCTTTAATCCCAGTACTCCGGAGGCAGAGGCAGGGGTGGATCTCTGTGAGTTCGAGGCCAGGCTGGACCGACAGCCTCCAAAACAATACAGAGAAACCCTGTCTCGTAAAACCAAAAAAAAAAAAAAAAAAAAAAAACCAAACAGTCATAATACTCATCTTCTCATACCATGGACTTTAATCTCTTTTCACCTCATGAGGCTCACAGTGGCCTTTTAGGTGAAAGAATGTACATATTACTTACTGCCCTCGCTTAGCAGAGAAGAATGGCAAGAGTCCAAAAAGTGAATTGCTTGTAGTAACAAGGGACATACTCAGTACTCCTGGGACCAATAAAGAGCTCTTTTTGACTCTGAGTGTAGTCCTCTAGGTTCCATACATCTCTTCCCCAAACATCTGGACACACCCATCATCATACACTGATGGACCGGTAGCCTTAGAGTAGGACATGAGAAGAGTGTGAGAACCTTGGTTTAAAGGATGCATGAGTCCAATCTGCGTGGAAATGTGCTAAGCCACAGAGATAATGCTGTCCAGGAAAATTCCCAGAACTTGCTCTTAAACACTGAAGAGTCCCAAAGTCTAAATGGTTCCCTGAGAGTAGACTCAGGACTTTCAACACATTAGGAAACAAAAACTAAAATCAATCTGCTCTGGGTTCATGTGATTGGTTTTACTGGAATTCTAGTATTGTAGTTAAAGTTACTTTTTGATTTAGTATTTCATTTTCATTCTGTGTAAAGGTTAAAAATTCAACTCTTCTACATTTAACAGCCAAAGGGGGAAAGCAACAGTAATGGAAATTCTTGATAGGAGACAAATGCCTGGAACAGGTATAATGGGAGGATGTGTCAACCTAACTAGATATTTACAAAATGCACAGAGAACCAAGATTCTCAACCAAACACAGCTGGGAAAGCATTGGGGGGCAGTAGTGCAGCGAATATCAAAGGCTTTGGAAATACTAGACTTCAATATTTGTCCCTACAACTCTATCTGGTAATTATTTCTGCTTCAGAATAACCAGATCAAGCATAAAGATTCATATAGAGGGTTTCTCTCTCTATTGCCACAGTTATCAAAGAAAAAATGAAATAAAGCAAATGATTAAGAAAATGAAATCTCAAAGTAACCCAGAAGTACGACATGATAAATGCCAGAGAACACTAAAAATAACATTATTAAATATACTTAGGAATGCAGGATAATGAAAGAACCTACATAAAATTCTAGAAATGTAAAAATGAAAGATTACATATAGTCAAGAATAATTTTATCGTACATATATATTAATAGGTAATGCTCCCAGATGACTCCACTATAGGTTTTCAACAGCTTGAAAATCATAATGATTATTTAACATTTCTTATTGAAATGATAAGGGTTTTTAATTTTGCCATATTTCTCATAAAGCTGCTTTCCCACTTTAGTTTTGAGCTTCAAGTACCTCAAAGTTCACAGACAGCAACTAAAATAAAATTCCCATCCAGTTCTTCCAAATAGAAACAGCTCAGGACGCCATCTGATAGAGAAAGGGGCAAAGAGGAAAAAAAAGTGAACAACAGCGGCGTGGAGAGCAGCATTCTGCACATTACTGTCATGCCCATGTGGTCCCTGGCTAGCCTGGTGGTGACACTGTAATAGTAGAAGCCTTTTGTGGCACATCATAAAGCTTGTGTCCTAGTGACAAATAGCAAGAGTAATCAGCTAAAATTTGGCAACGAATTCAAATAAAAGGTAATTAGCAAAATAGGGACTCTTTACAGGCATCTAAATGTCAGGCCAATTAAAGGATAATGGGAACATGAACATAAACAAGAACCAGGAAAGAAGCCCATTGGTGGGACCAACGCCCACTGGGGAGGGTATATAATAACCCTGGAGCCAGAGGAGACATTTGAACCTCAGACACTTCATCTCTGCATTGGACCAAAGACAACCAGACTCCATCACTATGGCTTGCTGTGTTGCCCGCTGCTGCAGCGTCCCCACTGGCCCTGCCACCACCATCTGCTCCTCAGACAAGTCCTGCCGCTGTGGAGTCTGCCTGCCCAGCACCTGCCCACACACCATTTGGCAGCTGGAGCCCACCTGCTGTGACAACTGCCCCCCACCCTGCCACATCCCCCAGCCCTGTGTGCCCACCTGCTTCCTGCTCAACTCCTGCCACCCAACCCCAGACCTGCTGACTGTCAACCTCACCACCTATGTGCAGCCTGGCTGTGAGGAGCCCTGCACCCCAAGGTGCTGTTGACCTTGCTTGGTGCCTGTCTTCGAAAGAGTCAACCATGGAGACCTGGCACTTACCTGGCAGAACCTGCAATTAGTTTGCTCTGATTTAGAAGCTGAAGTTGAGTGACACTGTCATTGACAACACCTCTCCTGTCTGCCTCAACGAAAAGAAACCAGAGTCTTTGGTAATGTGGCTTTTACCTGTAACCAGGTGCAGTTTGGACGGTTGGTGCGTCAAGGCTTCTGAAGATGTTGACTCCTTCGTCTTAGTGTGTGGCTTTCTGTGGGTGTTGGGGGCTTCTGAGTTCAGTCTTGGGTGGTTTCTTTCCGCAACGTAAGGAACTTCTTCATCACCTTCCTAATAAATTTTGTGTCTATGGCATAGCACAAAGGTGTATAGTTGCTTTTTATTTCTATGACTTCATTAAATGTGCTTCTTAACCTCCCTACGTTAATTAGCATTTAAAGAAAAGCTATCAGCATGTGTAAAATTGAAAATAGCAGGAGTAAAGCAAAACTTATTGATCTTGTTGCTCTTACTATTCTGGGGAAACTAAGTGGCCTGTTGTTATGGTTAGGGTTTCTATTGCTGTGACAAAATACCATTACCCAAAACAACTTAGGGAGGAAAGGACTTATTTAGCCTACACTCCCATATCACAGTTCATCATCAAAGGGATCAGGACAGGAACCTGGTGGCAGAAACTGTAACAGAAACCATGGAAGAACACTCTTTGTTGCCTTACTCCTCATGGCTTGCTCAGCCTGTTTTCGTATACAATTCAGAGCCAATCTGAGTGGTGGCCCCACCCCCATGGCTGGGCTCTCCACACCAATCATTAATCAAAACAATACCCTACAGACTTGTCTATGGGCCAGTCTCATGGAGACATCTTCTCAATTAAGATTCCCTCTTCTCAGATGGCTTTAGTTTGTGTTGAGTTCACAAAGAACCAACCAGAACACATGACATGCTGATTTAAATGGGAGACATTTCCCAGGACTCATGGATTTGAACACTGGCTCCCAATAAATGATACTGATTGAGAAAGTGATAGGTCCTTTAAGAGGTAGAAACTGTGTCTCTGTGAGCTGGGTTTCAGGTTTTACAATCTGACTTCATTTCTCTCTCTCTCCCCCCCTCTCTCTCTCCCTCCCTCTCTCTCTCTCTCTCTCTCTCTCTCTCTCTCTCTCTGTCTCTGTGTGTGTGTTTTTATGTGTGTGAGTTTGTGTCTCTGTCTCTGTCCCTCTCTGTGTGTCTCTCTGTCTCTCTGTGTGTCTCTGTCTTTGTCTCTCTGTGTATCTCTGTCTCTGTGTGTGTGAGTCTGTGTCTCTGTCTCTGTCTGTGTGTCTCTGTCCCTATCTCTGTCTCTGTGTGAATCTGTGTGCCTCTGTCTCTCTTTCTCTCCTTCCTGACTGCCAGGCTAGGCTCGTCTCTGGCCGCCATGCCCCTCTCCTTTTATGGATTATATCCCTCTGGAACTGCGAGCCATATAAACCTTTCTCCCCTGATTTGCTCGCCAGTGTAATCTTATCACCCCAACAGAAAAGTAATCAACACCCAGCATGAAAGAGGCCAGTAGAGAGATGTACTTGAAGATAGACTTCGCTGGTTGTCTCGTCCAAGCTGCTTTAATCCATGTTTATGCCTGTACTATCCATCATACCCAGGAACTAGAATCATCCTAGATGCCCATCAGTAGATGAATGGTTAAAGAAAAGGACATGGAAAATTATACACTAGGAAAATGTAAAACAAACTTAACACTTACAAAGGGTAAAATGTCTGAAAGTGTAAACATCTGACAAGACCACTTGGAGAAAACTCAGATTGACTAAATAGCTCATCCATTATTGATGGCAGCATGAGTCATATGACCCCCTTATGGTTTGGATACTAATTATCCCCCAAATTCATGTGTTGAAGGTTTTGTCCCGGGTTGATGGCAATATTTGGAGGCTGTAGAAACTTTAGGAAGAATGGCCTATTAGAAGGAAGTAGGATCCCTGGTAGTACACTCAAAAAAAATATTGGGACTCTCTCCTTATCAGCTTCCTGACCAGCATATGGTGAGCAGCTTTTTCTTTTTCTCCATCCCTCTCTTTCTGCCATGATGTCCTTTGTAATGGCATCAAAGTGACCACGAACCAAAACTTCTTTTAGAACCAAGATAAATTGAAGTTATTATCATAAACATTTTTCTATAGTTGTATAAATAAACATAATTCCTTTGATGAGAAAAGTTCAGAAGCTTATGTTTTAAGATTTATTTTATTTATTTTTAAAATATTTTCTTTTTAATTATGTATATTGTACCTGTATCTGTGAGGAGGCATGTATACATGAGTGTAGGGGCCTGTAGATGCCAGGAGAGGGTGTCAGACCTGGAGCTAGAGTAACAAGTAGTTGTGAGCTGCCTGACATGGGTGATAGGAACTTAACTCAGGTACTTTACTAGAGCACAAAGTGCTCTTAACTCCTGCACCATATCTCCAGTCTCTTATAGTTTCTTATAAAAATAAATACAGAAATATATATCTACTCACAGCTAAACAATTCCACTCTTACTATTGACCCAAGAGAAGAGTTTTTTTCTTCATCAACAAAAACACACACCAATGTTATAGAAGTTTTATTTATGACAGCATCAAACTGGAAATAGCATTTATCCACAGAAAAGACAAAAAAAATCACAAAATGAACTTTTTAAATTCAACAAGACACTGACGCAGCATCAGTGAACTAAAAGATAAGAGTGTTAACTGAAGGAAACTAGATGCAAAATTATACACACTGTATGACTTTGTGCATAAAATTTAAGAATACAGAATAGTAACCCATGGTAGCAGGAATCACTGTAATGTTTACCTTTGGAGGCAAGTGAAAAGGGCACAAAATAGTATTCCAGTGAGATGAAGAAATATTAATGTCTCGACCAGGGTGTTGGCTGTGTAGCTTTGTCAAACCTGCACCTAGACATATATAAAATTTTTAAACAAATTAACTTGAAGGAAGGAAGTGAACATGTTAACAATTATACATTCATTGGGAACTAATATGTGTCATTTAGCAGTATTAAACTTTATGAAATAAAACACATTTTGGTTTATTGGTTCATAACTACACATTAAAAAAACATAGGTATTATTTTTTCATTTCATGGTGAAAACAAGACCTAAGGGAGTTCCATATCGAAAAAGGAAAATATAGTTAATGAATAAGAGTGTTACATCTAAATTAGTCACGTGAAAATATGGCTACCAGGACAGTAGTCTTCATTCTCCACCAATTTTCCTTGTCTTCAGTATTAACTTTTATAAAGAATTATGTATCAAAACAGAAGCCCCTATTGAAGTAAATGTATTTATCTTTAGCAAGCATTTATTAATGGTCTGTTACATGCTAAGGGGCTGAGAAAAGACATAGCATGTCTTAAAAGAGGCTTTGTCCAGCAAGCCCTGCACATCATGTGGGCAGCACTTCATGTGAGCCAACCCCATTGATGGAGGTGTAGGCAAACCAGCCCCGAATTTGTGAGCATGGGAAAGCTGCCCTTATTACCCATCTGTTATGTGGCATCATGGGTGGAGAAGAGATGCCTTCCCCCACCCCACCCCGATACCCATCAGTGCCTGAGGCAGATAGGAGAGCTGGCCCTGAGGTCATAAGAGTGGGAGAGTTGGCCCTACCCCTCATCAGCTGCAGCACTCAGGAGAGTCCCATACATCACACCTGGACGACACAGTAGAGCTGGCCCTGAAGGTGTAAGTGTGGGAGAACCCTGAGGAAAGCAGGAGAACTGGACCCACTCGTTGCTCATTGCTGCAAGGGGTGAACTCACCATGGCAATGCAGGAGAGCTCACCCTGGTGGTAACGACAAGGGAGAGCTGGCAGGCTGACCAACCCTGCAACTACCCAGACCCAGAACCAGGGTTATGTGTTCCCTCACCCTAACATCTACCTCATCTATGATCTGCTAGAGCATGTGAAGGGACAAGTCATGCAGACCTAAAACAGCAAGATCGCCACAGCACATGGCAATAGCAGGATATCCGAGAGGAGTTCCAGTGAGGGTCCAGCACTGATCCTGCAGCAGAAACCAGAGGCCTCAAATAGACCAATGGCTCTGCAATGAACACCTGCTAGTAAAGATACATGGACAAAAGGGTTTACTGCACGACTCACTGTGTCACACTACAGATTCCATGACAAGATTGAGTTTTTCCTTCTCTCTTTTTTTTCTTTTTTATCTTTATTTTATTTTATTGGGGTAGGGTTGCAAGGGCAGAGGGCAGATATGAAGGGATGCAGAAATGAATGGGATAGAGATGTATGACGTGAAAGACACAAAGAATAAATAAAAGGAAGACTCTGTCCAAAAAAAATCAATAAGCCTAAAAAGAGAAAATTGTGTGTGAATTTGTTTGTGATTTCTTCACTTTTCTTTGAAAATTTCATACAAGGTATTTTGATCATATTCATCCTCTCCCTTAACTCCTCCCATATCTACCCCCTTTCCTGATCACCAAACATTGTATTGTTTCTCCCACACACCTTTTTTTTAACTCATCAAGTCCCAATTGTGCTGCCCATTTACCCTTGGATATGTGACCTTCCATGGGAATGTGGCCAACCTATCAAGGATAACAACACTCTTTAAGACAATTGACTCTCCCTTTCCTAGCAGCTACCAATTACCAATAGCTCCTGAGCTAGGGGTGGGATCTTGTGCTCACCCCTCTTCCCCATGCTCAGATCAGGTCTGGCTTGAGCTTTCATGAGTCTTACATATGCTGTCACAGCCACTGAGCTCCTCTGTGCAACTGCCCTGCTGTGTCTTGTAAACGCTGTCTCCTTCTAATCGCCTACCACCTCTGGCTCCCACTGCCTTTCTGCTCCTCTCTCCTACAGTGCTCCCTGAGCCTGACATACATGTCCCAACCGGCAGCTGGATGGCATCCCCACTGGGTTTTAATGTGAAAGTTGGGCCATGAAGGGAAGGGCAGGAGAAACAATTCTACAAGCTTGTAGAGTGGCTGGAGCTTGGTTTGTGAGATAAGTGTAAGGCAACGAGGTAGCTATCAACCAAGGACGGAAGATCCTGTTCACCAAGGTGGACATTTTGGATTGCATCAGGGAAGAGTAAAAACAGATTTTCAAAAAATGATTCTGCAGCAGGAGTCAGTGGATACCCTAAGACAAAAACACACCATAAATGAAACAACCATGTTTGCCATCATGATCTTTCATGACGTCCATTTATTTCCCTTTTTCCCAATGATCTCTTCTGAGGAACATAAGCTGCAGATTGTGTCCTGGCCCCTTTCCATGTTCTCAGAGTACAGTTAGTTATTCATTA